ATAACCCATTCAACTCCACATTCCACCTGACCAAGATGGGAGGCAGGCACGCACACGTGCACACACACACACCCCCAGAACAAATTTTAAAGCAGATCAAACTCAGGAGTAACCTATGAAGAGTTGATGCTACACTAACCAGAAATACTCTCAAATGATGGCTTCACACATACTCCCTTAGAATGGAACAAGCGGCCTGCTCTTGGCACCCTGGGGCACCGTCCTCTCACCTTCTCAGGACTTTACGTCCCTCCTCTCTGGCAGTCATCTCTCCCTTTTCACTGGTGTGTTCTCTCTGACATCCAGACATGCTTTTTCATCTCCCATCTGGCTTCTGTGACCCACACCCCCTACTGCCCACCCTTCTACCTCACTGGTCATTCTAGATGTCCCTTAGATGCTTCAAGTCCAGCACACCAGAACTTTAGTTTGTTCCCATCCCTGCCCCATCCCCCTGAGTCATGGGACCCACCACCATGATCCACACAGTTGCTCAAGCCAGAAACCACTTAATTCCATCCTTCCCTCACCTCGCATATCTAATCCATCAGCAAGTCCTCTGAATTCTGCCTCCAAAATTTCTCTCAAATCCATCCACTTCTCCTCATTCCACTGCCACCACCTTAATCCAGGTCATAATCAACGACTGCCTGACCAGAGAAACGCCCTTCTAGCCAATCAATTCTCCAAACAGCAGCGACAGCAAGCTCAAAGTTAAAAGAGGATTACGTTACTCCTTCCATTAAAACCTTCTGATGGCTTCTCAGTACCCTTAAAATAAAACTCACATTCCCTACCTGACCTGGCCTGTCTCTTCCCCATCCATCTGCTCCAACACTCCTCTGAGCTGGGATCAGTCCAGCTCATTCCTGCCTCAGGGCCTGTACCTATCCTTCAGCCCAAGGTGCTCTCTCCCCCTCAAAGCGCAGCTAGCTCCTTACCCTTACACCATAGCTTCTAGTCACTTCTGACAGCAGGTCTCCTCCTGCCCCATCAGTCTTTACTTCAGCACCTGAGTCCTTTACAGTACATATCACAATTTGTAATTCTGTTTATTTCCCTCACTAGAATATATGTGGTAATACTTAGAGAAATTAACTTATTCAACTAATTTTTTAGAATTATTTAAGCACTTTCTTTGCATTAGGCAATGTGCTTTTAGATGCAAGAGCAGGCAGTGTCCTTGCTCTCAAGGGGCTTAAAGTCACAAACACCATATGTGACAGAGCCAAGAGACCCCTCCAGGTCTAACAGGTCTAATCCCCCAGAGCCTGTCCTCTGAACCACCTGTGGCAGACTTGATAACAGTTCCCTGCTAATGGAAAGAAATTAAGGCATGGAGAGAGGTTAAGGCATCTGCCCAAAGTGGCACAGACAGACATTTAGAGATTAAGAACAATTGTGTGTGAAGGCACAGAAACATTAGAGTACAGATAGAGTTCAAGGAATAAAAAGAATCCAGTTTGACTAGGCAGGGCAAAGAGAAACTGCAGGAGGATAAGGCTGGAAAAGCATACGAAAGGTCGTGTGAGGGTATCAGTCAGTCATTTGATAAATATATACCGAGCACCAACTGCATTCCAGAACAATGCTAAACTCCAAACAAGGGTGATCAAAACCTTTCTCTCTTTGGGGACATATAGAGAATGATGTCTACTGGGGAGGAGGGGAGTACAGAAAAACTACAGTCCAGGAGGATACACGTTACAGTGGGACCAAGCAGAATGTGCTATGGGAACAGAAGAGATGGCACCCAATCAAGGCAAGAGTCCAGAAAGAACATCTCGGCTAAGTGAGGTCTACCTGAGATTACAGAGCTTAACAGGAAGAGAGAAAATACAGTACAGAGAGGCACCTGCAAGCACACAGCTGAAAATGGTGGGAAAGTGAGAGCGCCAGTTCAGGAGGGGCTGTGTACGTCTGTCTACCCATATGAAAGGAACTTGAAACTTTGTACTCGTGGCCTTAAGGTCACTATATTAGAAAGCTCCTTATTTACACTGCAGGAGGAAGAACTGGAGGGAGGGCAGAGACCAGAAGCAGGCAGACCACGCAGAAGACAGAAGAGGACTGAAAGTGAATGTGAAAATGAGAGACAGAGAGAAAGCAGCAATGCCAGATTTGAGGTAACCAGGCAGTAGAAAAATCAGGGCTTGACCACTAACTGGATATGGAGGGTGAGAACCGTGGACAGTTAGAAACAATAAAGGTTTTCATTTTGGACACGTAATTTTGAAGTACCTTAATAACATAAATGTGGATACATATCACCTACATTTGTCAAATGCATACTATACAACATCAAGAGTGAACCAGAATGTAAAGCATGGACTTTTGGTGACAATGTGTGTCAATGCAGGTACATCAAATGTACCACTCTTGTGGAGGACACTGATAATAGGGAAGGCTATGTATGAGGGGTGACTTGGAGTACATGGGAAATCTCAGTACCTTCTTTTTTGCTGCGAATCTAAAACTGCTCTAAAAAGTAGTCATTTGAAAAATGACCTACAGGCAAGAGAATACATGAGTCTAGAGTTCAGCAAGCAGAGATGTGAGTGTCATCAGCATACAGATAGTATGTCAGGAAACAAGTATGTATTGCATGGTACGCACTGATGATACAGGAATAAAAACCACAATCCCTACTCTTCTGCAGCAGATGTGCTAGTAACTACAGCCACGAAAAACTAATTCAAAGTGCATTAGAAAAACCACTATTTAAGAGAAACCATTAAAGAAACACTATAAAGAGGAAAATTTTATCCCAGGGGTTTGTTTTTTTCGGGGGGGGGGACTTTGGGGGGAGGAAGTGGGAAGGAGTCTGAAGTTTTCATATATTATGTTTGTAGTGAGGTCTATACCAAAACATCCAGAATCTAAACATGTTGCCCGGCAGGTGTGGCTCAGTGGTTGAGCATTGACCTGTGGTCCAGATTGAGGTTCAAGGTTTGATTCCCACTCAGGGCAAATGCCCAGGTTTTGGGCTCGATCCCCGGCAGGGGGTATGCAGGAGGCAGCCGATCAATGACTCTCTCATCATTGATGTTTCTATCTCTCCCTCTCCCTCTCCTTTCCTCTCTCCGAAATCAATAAAGATAGATTAAAAAATAAAATAAAAATAAACATTTTACAAGGGGCATTAACCAAAAGGCTATAACAGATCTCTTCAGAAACTGAGTAAATCAACTGCTTTAAAATATAAGTGGGCCCCAGCAGGTTTGCTCAGTGGTTAGAGCATCAGCCCACAGACTGAAGGGTCTTGGGTTCGATTCCTGGTCAAGGGCACGTACCTTGATCCCCAGCGCTGGCCCTGGTTGGGGCACATGTAGGAGGCAACCAGTTGATGTGTCTCTCTCACATAGATGTTTCTCTCTTCCTCTCTCTCCTTTCCACTCTCTCTGAAAAGCAATGGAAAAAATATCCTCCAGTGAGGATTAAAAAAAAAAAAATTAAAATATAAGTGGTCACTGCAAAGTTACTAAACTTACTGCTTTATCCTCATTATGTAAGACCTGTTTTCAAAACACTGAAAATAAAGACCTAGTCTTCAAATTATGTCAGTTGCCATAGCTAGATATTTCCTTTGTAACTCCAATTAATTTTAGCCTGATTACCAGATATTAAAGAATACTGCTCTACAGCAATTTTATAAAAATTTCCCAAAGCTTAGAGGCAACTGATATTAAGCTAAATTGAAATAAATCTCTTTCTGAATTAGTAGTCTTTGGAATCGTACCCTGAAAAGTTCCATCTCTATTAATTTACTGTACTTCAGTTTAAAATATTATTAAATGTTGCTAAAACATGCTAGAAGGGTGCCAAGAGGGGTCATTTAGACCAACTCTATACTGTATCTAAAGAAAATATGTGGCAGCCTGGGGGGAGGGGAGCAGGGTGGCGGGGCGTCAATGGGGGGAAAGACGGGACATCCAGTAATACTTTCAACAATAAAGATAAAATAATAAAAATAAAAAGTAGGATATGCTTCCCATTGAAAAGAAAATATGTGGCAAAGCAAACTTTAGGGTTGCAACTAACCATTCCCGGTCATAAAAGTCTGTCTTTAATTTCCAGAACAAAAACTCACACCATTTGTAGAGCCCACTCTGCCTCAAAGCCTGTGCGAGGTGCCCCGGCAGCGGGCCCACCCCGCGCTGCCCCCTGCTCCCCGCAGCGCCTGAGGACCGGTGCCCCGCGCGGCTCCAGGTCCCCACGTCGGTACCTCGGTCCTAGGACGCGCGCTGACCGCCGGCGCCGAGGTGCTCAAAGGGCACCTCCTCCTAAGCAGCCTGCTCCTCTGAATTCCAGCCCCCAGGAGACCTCTCCAAGCCCTGCCCAGAGAAACTTCCACACGCCGCCATCTCACACCTGTCAGTGTTCTCCCCCAGACCTCTTGTTTTCAATGTTAACAACAAAATGCACTGAAAGAAAAACCCAGAAGCCAACCACCTATGACGTGATCTCTCAAATTCCGGCCCAGGCACTTCCAAGGGGCCCGCCGTGCCGAGGGAACCCCCAAAGTCGAGTCGCCCAGCAGCCCGGCGGACGCGCCCCCGGGGCGGCCCCGGCTCCAAGCCCCTCCCCAGCACCCCCAGGAGGAGGTGCGCCGCCGGCCCACTTCGCAGGTAGGGAACATGAAGGCGAGGGAGGCGCGGTGGCTCGCCCAAGGTCACGAACCGGGGGGGCCGGACTGAAGCCGAAGCCGGCGGCCTGACGCCCGAGTCGCTCCCAACACTCGACCGCCCAGGGTTGTTAACGATGGACCCCTGGCGGGCGCCTGCCGGGGGCGGCACAGGGGCCGCTGCCAGGAGCGGGGCTGCGGGCTCTGGGCAGCCGGCTGCAGGTCGCCTTTTCCCCACAAACGCTGGACGCGAGAGCCAACAAAGTCTGCACCTTTCCAGGAACGGGGAGCGAGAAACTCACGCAGCACCGTGGCCCAGGTATTCCACATCCCCAACTTGCAAACCTGGGAGAGTCGGGAAAGGACCCCAAAGTACCCGAGAAACGGCGCCCGGGGAAACCGAGGCTGACAAGCAGAAGCCGGAGCCTCCCGGGCAGCCGCGGGCGCGACCTCCTCCCGACGACACAAACAAGGGAGGCGGCCGCATTCTTCCCAGCGCACAAAGCACCCGGCCGGCGGCGGGCGG